AAATACTGGAGCGGAAAGTATTTCTGAAAACAATGTCAGCTCAAGGGCAATGCTGATTAATAGCTGGCATGATCTACAAAAGTCATTAAAAACATCCCTGCCAAGTATCTGCAAATGTCCTATAAAGTAAGTAAATGTATTATACATTAACATTCAAGGCAAATTCCATTCTAAACCCATGATTATAAACAAGGATATGTGCAAATCTAACATGAACAAGCTTGTAGCAGCAGCTCTGACCCACATTTTTACCAGCACTAATAACTGTTCAGATTGCATATAAACAGCATACTTAAAGTGGAAATACACTGCACCTGAGCACCACAAACCTAAAATACTATTATATTCTTTTTTATTATTAAAAACAAACTCATCCACCCATCCATGTCTCCATACTTTATTTTGCTAAGAAATTACTTTGAAAAACACTCCCTAGCATTTATGGAAATGGCCATCTTGAGTAAGGGCTGGTGACTCGTAGCATTTACTTCCTGAAATCTACCTGCCCTTAGTTTAGACATGCGACAGGAGGGTGTGTTGAGCTGAGAAAACCCCTCCTAAAGATTCCTGGGATGTATGACATCACTTACCTAGGCCTGAAAAACAGGAAATAACTAAAGAAATATAAAAAAAAGTTAAGAACGTTTAAAACAAGTAACTATGATATACTTTCCTATTTACTAAGCCTAGCACCAAAAAAGATTTAAAATAGTCAATGCTGATTGACAGAATGAATGAAGTTCCACTTTAAAGTGTTATTCAACTAGACAGCTTTCAGTGGATGGACTAAGGCTGATGTGTAGTATCAATCAGCAGCAGTGTATTCTGCCTAAGCCCTGGTTCACACTGATGCGGTGTGGAATTCACAGGGTTTTCTGTGCGAATTCCGCACCGCATCAGAATCGCACCCCGTTCATGCAAACCGCTGCGGATGTGCATGTTAATTTATCAACACCTTGAAAGCGGTCTGCAAAACGTGGTGCTATGTGCAGAAATGGATTGCATAGTTGTGAATACCCATGTGATCTGATTCTAGTGCGGGACAAAAAAAAAAAAAAATACAAAATGTATGACTCCAATCGGAATGCGGTGTGGTTTATGTGCGAATCACATGCGATATGCCGCACTGCATATATGTGAACCCAGGCTGAGGGTCAGAGGTCTCAGGTTACTGTGGATCAGGCAGAGATTGCTGGTGGATGACTAATCTAGTGCCTGATGTGCCCCTTAAGAATAAGTAAACCCAGACACTAAAATCATATAAACGTTTTAACCATTTTTCGAATTTTAAATCAACAGCTTTCAGTAATATAAAACAAGGTACTATTGCCAAGAGGGTCCTTAATCAGGCACTTTCACTTACAGGGTAACCATGCTCTGTCCCTGTAATCCGATTGTGCTCCTGCATGGGTCACCCCGGTCACACCAAAATAAACTGCAATTGTTTACAATACATCAAACAGAGCTTAAGCAAACTAAAGCTGGCCATGCATGGATCGAAAGTCATCCAGTTCAGCAGGGACGGTCCAAATTTCAATCCATATTGGTTGTACAAAAGTCGATCTACCGATTGGCTTCTGTACAACCAGCCTGTTGGTATTTTTCTGCTCGATCAGTGCCGCAGGCTATAGCCAGCAGCGTTGAACAGTGTATTCTGATGGCAAGGAAGTCTCCCCGCTGTCACAATACAAGAGCCCAGCGGGGAGGATTCCTCCATAGGGAAATTAATTCATGAATCATCTATGGCACACTTAAATATCATTCATGTAAGATTTACAGCTACATAACATTTACATATACATAAAATTAGCCCCCACAACCTGTACACAGAATAAACCTAAAATCCCCACCCCCATCAACTATCCTAGTTGGACATAATAGTAGAAATAAAAAACCTAAAAATTTGAAATATTCTGTGCTGCTGTTCTGACTTGCTGTAAGATTAGATACTTTACAAAGAAAATTTGATTTTTAAGTGTATGCATTTTCAGCGAGCGAATATTTGGAGTTATTATTGTGCATTTTCCTTACAATCTTGCTCTTCTAAATGTCTGTTATTGTATTTGATTTTGCTGAACCACTGACTTTTGTTTGGCGCACAGTTTTATTAATAATTACCTTACTCTGTCTTTATTGCATGCTAATTTTTTTTACTGGTGTTTGCTTTTTTAACCACTTTCTGTCCGACCTATAGCAGAAGTACTGCTACAGGACAGCACGTAATTTTGCATTTCCAGGTAGGGGGCACGCATGAGCCCTACCCGCGCCGCCATTTGTGGCCTCGGCTGTCAATCACCAGGTCCCGGCCGATGATTGCCAAGCATCTCCGATGGGGGGGTGAACTGTTTGTAAACAAAACAGTTCTCTCCCCTGTCAGCTTCTGCACACTGCTTTGCATGGCTGTGCATAGCGCAGCCATACAAAGTAGTGTGCTTACAGTGAAGCGCACACACAGCACACTATGTAAAATGACACACAGCACACAGTTAATCCTTTGATCACCCCACGTTAACCCCTTCCTGCCCAGTGCCATTAGTACAGTGGCAGTGCATTTTATTAGCACTGATCACTGTATTGGTGTCACTGGGGATGTCAGTGACACCAAGTCAGTTCCCCTCAGTGTCTGAGTGCCCGCCGCAGTCCCGCTATAAGTCGCTGATCACCGCCATTACTAGCAAAAATAAGAAATTGAAAAAAAATCCCAATTCATTTACACATATTGGGATTTTTTTTTTTTAGCAAAGACATGTAGCAGAATACATTTTGGCCTACATTTATGACAAAATTCGATTTTTTTAATTTTTTACTGGACAGGTTTAATAGCAAAAAGTCAAAAATATATTTTTTTTCTCAAAATTGTTGGGTTTTTGTTATAGCGCAAAAAATAAAAACCGCACAGGCGATCAAATACCACAAAAGGAAAGCCCTATTTGTGGGAAAAAAGGACATAATTTTAATTCTGATGCAGCGTTGCTTGACTGCGCATTTGTCAGTTAAAGTAACGCAACGCCGTATCGCAAAAAATGGCCTGGTCAGGAAGCTGGGTAAATCCTCTGGAGGGCAAGTGCTTAAATAATGTATTGTTATTACTATTGCAACTGTATTTGACAGTTACAGTATTAGATGGTACTGCAGATGAACATCGCAGACTGAAAGATGGCAGCGTTTGGCTGCATGCCAAAGGCTTTCTTTTTTAGGATTTAAAGTGGTTCTAAAAGGTAATTTCCCTAAACTTAACTCTGCGCCCTGCCAGTGCTTTTTGCTCCTACTCTTTTCCGAGTTTCCCCATAGCAAGTTATGTGCTGAAGGGGCTCATTTGCATGTGCGCTCCCAAGCTGATCTGTGTGGGCACCGGATCAATTTCAGTCGGTGTATGGCCAGCTTTACACAAGAGAGGAGCCACAGATGCTGGATTATGTGACCGCCCTGGAGTAGATTAAAAAAAGGTATTTACATCGAACTTTTTTTTATATAGGCTATGCACCAAAGGGAGGAGGAGGAGAGTAGCGTGTTTAAGGTTACCTGTAATTGCTCCTTACTATCACTTTAAGAATAGTAAGTACAGCATAGGCACTCAAACACTGCTTCCCTGATGATGGAGTCTTCTAGGTAGGTATTCCTACACCTATTTTTTATAGTATTTAGGATGGGTACAGAATAGTAAGATTCTCCTTCGATTTGATCTGTTAGATCAGTAAATTCATACATATAGTATAGTGTTAAAAGTACCACTTAAAAAAAAAAAAGTAAGAAAATATTTTGTTAGCTGCATGGGCTGGATTGCTAGATAGGATTCCATTTCCTCTAGATTGTTCTTAGAAAGGATTCCAGCTATCATAAAAAGTTATTTATACAAACCACAACACAACTGTGTACTTATCATGGAAGGGCACTTTGCCTGACACCTGCATAAACACACAGCAGATAAAATACAGATAAGCACGGAAAAGGGAATTACTAGTCCATGGAAGACTAGAGTCTAAACAAGTCCCTAATTATAATCATTTTTCAGGGGTATGAAATTTTTTTAAAAGATTATTTGTCCAGGGAGTAAACTTGTCCCACAAAAAAAGTTTGTATTTAAATACTCTTGTTAAAATGCTGCTGCTAGACTCATACACCTTACCAACCGATCAGTAACTGCTGCCCCTCTCTGCCAATCCCTCCACTGGCTTCCACTAACTCAACGTATAAAATTCAAAATACTAACCACAGCTTACAAAGCCATTCACAACACTGCCCCTAGCTACATTGCCAACCTCATCCGCAGATATCGCCCAAATCGCCCACTCCGCTCCTCCCATGATATCTTCCTCTCTAGCTCCCTCATCACCTCCTCCCACGCTCGTCTCCAGGACTTCTCCAGAGCCTCTACCATCCTCTGGAACTCCCTACCACAGCATGTCCAGTCAGCCCCCACCCTGTCTGCGTTTAGGCGATCCTTGAAAACTCACTTCTTCAGGGAAGCCTACCCCACCTCCACCTAAGAACTGTACTTGAATCACCTCCACCAGATCATCCCCAGCAGCTATCACCTTTTGTATCACCTCCCCCTTCCTTTAGACTGTAAGCTCCACAAGCAGAGCCCTCACATTCCTTCTGTACTGACATGTATTGTAATTGTACTGTCTCCCTTATAATGTAAAGCGCTGCGCAAACTGTTGGCGCTATATAAATCCTGTATAATAATAATCAATAAGCTCTGAATATTGCACTGTTTATCTCCTCTTCACCTTCCTGCCTGTCTCCAGCACTGCATCCCGGGACTAGCAGAGAGGGGAGAGACCTTGCAGTGTAATGAGCACCAATTAGGTGCTCATCAAAAAAGGTCAGTGTCAGGCTCTCAAAGCTCAGCAGAAGCACAACTGCCGAACAAGCGCCGACCCCAATGAGAGAGAACGAAAAAAATTCCTTCAGGTTACCCTCGCACACAGAAGCACTTGGGTGCTCAGTACAAGCGCATGCTGAGCAGTCAAACCAAGCCCTGGTGTCCACTCCGCTAACCCTCCAGTGACCAAGGGTAAAACAAATGTTAATACCTAAGCACAATTTTGCAACCTTGACATGTGTTCGTAAAACCGTACATACCGCAACCACAATTGTGTATCTAGGTGGATTATACTTTGGGTTTTTTTCAGGACAAATTGGGCTTTCCTTTGGTGGTAAAATGGTAGTGGATATCTTTTTCTTTTATTATCAAAGGAAAACTGCCCAAAATAGTAAAAACATACATTTCTTTTTTATTTAGCAGAATATTTCCTGTTATTACCATAATTTAACACAAAAAATCACCCAAAAGAAATTCTCCCGCTCCTGACAATAACAGCGATACCACATATATGTATGGCAGTTGTTCTTTGTACCCGTAATAGGTCCCAGAAATAATGGTGCGCATTTTCCATTTTCTTAATCCTGCCTGAAACACAGTGACACTGATACCAATTTTTTTTTTAAGCTACCGAAAATATACTGACTGCGACCTTTGACCCTGACCTGATCCTAACACTAACCTTGATCTAGTTATTTTTTTTCCATATATATATATATATATATATATATATATATATATTTTTTTTTTTTTTTTTTTTACACACTTTTTGTTTGTTTCAATCTTCCTCTACATACAGTAGAGGAAGTAAACACAAGTACGGGCTCACAGTGACTGGTCACTGTGATAGGCAATCAGAGGCTGAACAGGTAGGGGGTATACCAGGTCCTGATCGGTAGTTAGCTGAATCAATAGGCCCATAGTAGAAATGTGAAATTTGCTCTGGTCCACAGGTGTTTCGCGGGTGTGAGAGATGAAATGGTTACAGTTAGGACAAAAAATGTAATTTATTTTTCATGAGATTCATTTGAATCAAGTTTTTTTTTTTGGCATATATAACTTTCCTCCTGCATTCTATAGGTGGTGTACTCAAAGCTATTCCCTTTTTCTTTTTCACAAAGCTGACTTACAATTATAATGTGAGCAACGTGTTAAAAGAAATCAAATAACACAACATACAGCTCCTTGGAATAGCATATCATTCTCCCTCTATCTAGTTTATGTGGATCAATATGAATTGTTAGAAGCAACCAATTACTAAAAAGTGTATTATCTAAGGGACCTTTCACAGCGTTCTGCCTGAATGGCTATGGGCATGTGGATGGGAAGAGATATAGGACCATTTACATACGCTTACGTCAGTTTATGTCTGCAGAAAAAAAAAAAAAAAATTAAAAGATTTGTGAAGATAAACTGATTTTGTCCATCTTTGTCTGTTCTGTTTATTTCCATTTTTACCAAGAAACATTATGTATACCAATGTAAACTGAACTGAAGACCGATATAAAAAAAAATAAAATCATTTTGTACATCAGTTTTCATGACAGAACGAACGATGCTCATGTGAAAGGACCCTACATATCACATAAGCACACTGTATTAAACATGGCTTTATAAAATTTGAGTTTTACAAAAAATATAAGTTGTATTTATATAACCCAAATTTAAATATAATTGACCAGAAATAATAATTTTAATCATAACTTAAAAGCACTGTAGCCAGCAGTTTATATGAGGACTGCTACTCACTGCTATTTAGTAACTGACATCACACAGCAAACAATCAGCTACAGGCGTGTGAGTAGTAGCACATCACCCACCAGGAGCAATTTAGGTTTGGTTTGCATCGTGCCATATGTGTACATATTGTTAATGATCAATTTGCCAAAAGGATACAAAAAATAATTTTCTGCACACCTTATTAACGTAAGACCACTGCAGGCTTCCTAGGGAAATTGCAATTCTTAGTCATTCTGAGGAAAATTCTGACATGTCAAAACACTTCAGACACACCTATACAGGTCACAGGCGTGACACTTCCTCCCAGGTTTAGTAACATCTGCCTTTAAAAAAACAATACTGGCAAAGATACAAGGGATTGCAACAGTAATACAGCATAATGATTTTGAAATACAAGTTATTTTTTGATAAGGCTTACCCGTAGGTACTGTGAATATCTTCATAATTTGCCCAGTTTAGAAGATATTCACAGCGACTGCTGCCAGTGACATCACCAGCACATGTGCAGTAGCTCTGCATTCAAGGTACACTGAGCATGCCGTCAATGCAGAGATAGCAGTGCTGCGATCATGATCCCACATGCACATGCGTGAGAGTGACATCTCAGCATCCCGGTCATTTAAACGTCCAGGGAGCGCCAACCTGAAAGGAAGACCAGGTGAAGATGGAAGCGCTGGCAGCAGTGACAGCATGCCGCTGGAGGGCATCTGCAACACCTGCAAGTACATCATTTTGCACCTGGACCTTTTAAGTCGCAGGATATTTTTTTTTGCAGGAATACCCTGCAAACAATAGCCACAGACCAGAAATTCGACAAACAATGACTACTGTCCATTCAAACCATTTCAGATGAGCAATTCCAGTACCCAAAACTGCAGTCAGGCAGGGATATTTATTCTTTTTCCAAACATGATTATCGGTCAGGCTGTTCCACAATCATTTCAGGTCTATGTGTAACCTAAGGAAAGCTCATAAAAACACTCTACAGAGACTAGTAATAGCAATCGGATACCACTATGTGCAAGACATTGAAGTGTGGAATAAACACTGCACTGTCCTGCAAACAGCGATATCCAATCTCGATTTCTGCATTTTACCACTGATTATTAAAGTGGAAGCCGCTGTGTGTAGCATGTGGCCACCCTTGCGGTGTTCTCTGCAGGGAACATTCCAAGACAAGAGAAAAGGCCTGTCATATGACTTTGATAACTGGGCACATTTCTATAGGGTGCTTTTGCAATACTGTTACTTAAAGTTTATGTAAACTTTAACATAAAATTGTTCTTATTTTCTCACTTTTGGTTTGTTAACCCCTTCACGCCTAAGGGTAAAACAAACCTTAAAGCCTAAGTAAAATTTTACAACTTTGACATGTGTCAGTAAAACCGTACATATCGTCACAACTACTTTGTACATCCAGGTGGATTTATACCTTGGTTTTTTTTTCAGGACAAATTGGGCTTTCATTTGGTGGTAAATGGTAAAGGATATCTACTGATTTTTTTGTTATTATCAAAGGAAAACTGGACCAAAATAGTAAAAAAAAAATTTTTTGTTTAATGTAACTGGGTGTTTCTTGTTACTACCATAACCTACCACTAAAGAACAACCCAAAATAAATTTTCCAGCTCTTGACGATCACAATACCATATATTATGTGTATGTTATATGTAGTTTGTACCTGTACTACAGCCCAGAAACAATAGTACGCATTTTGTTTTTTGGATTTTTTTTTTTACCTAAAAACACACTGACACTGATGCCAATTTTGAAAAAAAATCCTGACTTTTGAACCTGACCTTGACCCAAACGTTAACCCTGGCACTGAAATAGATCAAACTTTGATCTAGGTATTTTTTTTCTTTATTTTTTAATATTTAGCTTTTTTTTTGTATTAACAATTTTTATTGGTTTTCATGAAATACAAAAACAGTATATTTCAAAAGGTTAAGAAGAGAAAATAAACATAACAGAAAGATACATCGATGGCAAAATTAAATAGTATCAGGACCAGCGGAGTCATAAATATCAATGTAAAGGATATCAGGGCCTTGCAACGTGGACCGGCATAGAAGAGGTGAAAGTATCCCATGGGATCCAAATCATCTCAAATACAGCAAACGAACAACTATGTAGTGCAGTCAAATATTCCATCTGTCTTACATCAGCAATGAGTTTGTACAAAATTGACATTGAAGGAGGAGTAGAGGATAACCAACACATAGGAATGCTTCTCCTGGCCGCGGTCAGCACATGGACAGCGAGTTTCCTGGATAATTTAGGTAATCCTGGAATGGTAGACCCAGTAAAAAATGTAAGGGATCAAGTGGGAGAGAGACATGCAGCAATGAATTCAACAAGGAAAGAACATGCTGCCAGAAAGGGGTAATGGAGCTGCATGTCCAAAAAATATGATAGAGAGAACCAGGGTCTCTACTACAGCGCCAGCAATCAGGAGAAGCACTCGGATTATAAGCATGCAGAACCTCAGGTGTTTTATACCATAACATCATAATCTTGTAAATATTTTCCTTAAAAACCACACAGACAGAAGATCTAGATGCATTTTCCCAAATTTTCTTCCATGTCAATAAATCAATGTCACGTTGTATGAATTGAGACCACCTACGCATATAAAGGTGAGTATCATTGGATAAGGAGGGGGCTTCCATAAGAAGTTTATACGTATTAGAGATTATACCCCTATGGTGGGGACCCTGCATACATAAACTTTCAAAGGGAGTAGGTTTCCCCAGAGTCAATGAGGGAGATAAAGTGGAAAAAAAGTGGCGTATTTGAAGATAAATATATAGGTTGTTGAGGAGGTAAGAGGGCTTTTTTCTGGAGGACTGGGAATGAGTGTAACTTACGAGTCACCGGATGTACCAAGTGACACAGTTGAAAAAGGTTAGCTTACAACCCAATGCGACATCCGGGACATGGACATATTGTCTGGGAGATTAGGTTATAGAGGACATTTGTGTGCGGGGAGCAATCAGAGGCCAATGTAAATTTAGCCCTACATTTCCGCCAAACAGTCAGAGAAAAGTACATAGGTCCCAGAAATAAATGGCGAAAGGAGGAGACATCCACTGCTGAGGTCGACCAAAGGAGAGAGCATGGATGAGCTGGGGACAATTGCAAAGATTCGATCTCAGTCCATGTGTTGGGAGGATGATGGGAAGACCATGACATGAGAAAACGAAGATGAGTTGCGTAGTAATATGTTATAATATCCGGGGCCCCCAAGCCCCCCCTAGATCTTGGGGAAAGCAAAACGGAACGTGCAATCCTGTGCCGCCTATTGTGCCAAATAAAATGCAGGAAAGATTTCTGAAGAGAGTGAAGTTTTGGACATAGGAATGGGAACAGGGAGGGTCGCAAACAGGTACAAAAGTTTAGGCAAACACTGTCATTTTTAATACGTTAATGCGTCCTAGGAAAGAAATGGGCAAGGCATCCCATCGTTTCAGAGAGCGAGAAATTGCTATGAATAGTGGAGGGAAATTGGCCTCGTATATGGATTGGTAAGAGGAAGTAAGATTAGTACCTAAATATTTTAAAGAATGGGTACACCACCGATAGGGAAAGGCTTCCTGAAGCGAGGATAATGTGACAGGTGGGACGTGAATTGGGAGTGCCTCAGTTTTAGACGTATTAACTTTGTAACCTGAAATAGCCCCAAATCGTTTCAAGATCTGATGCAAAATTGGTAAAGAAGTATAGGGACTCGTGAGTGTGAGGAGGATGTCGTCTGCAAACAGCGATAATTTGTACTCATGGGTATGGGAATGTATCCCGCGAATATCCAGATTCGACCTAATGGCTGTGGCCAGTGGCTCCAGGCAAAGAATAAACAGCAGAGGGGAGAGTGGACAAACCCTGACGTGTGCCATTTGACATCTGAAAAGGGAGTGAAAGAAAAGATGCTAATCTGACCTGCGAAAATGGGGAAGAATAAAGGGCCTTCAAGGCTGCTACAAATGGACCCCGGAAACCAAACTTCTCCAAAACCATAAACATGTAGGGCCAACTTAACCGGATTCGAAAGCTTTTTGAGCGTCCAAGCTCAGTAACACAGCAGGGGTGGAGGATCGATTAACCAGATCAACCAGATCAATAGTTCTCCTGGTGTTATCCGCAGCATGTCTGGAAGGCACAAAGCCCACTTGGTCCCTATGTATGAGTTTGGAAATAATTCCGGACAGTCGGTTGGCTAAAATTTTTGTGAAAATCTTGTAATCGGAATTAAGTAGGGCAATCGGACGGTAGTTGTCTACAATAGAGGGATCCTTATCGGGTTTAGGGATAACCGAGATATAGGGCTCGTGAAAAGTCAGTCTGGGGTGTAACCCCCTTAAAAAGATCTCTGTAAAGAGAAAGGAGATGGGGAGCCAGGATACCAATAAAGGATTTATAATAGGTGTAGGGTAAACCATCCGGACCCGGGGCCTTACGAGAAGGGAGATGTTTAATTGTATCAAGTAATTCCTCATCGTAATGTCAGCATTAAGAATGGCAATGTCTGAGGGAGATAGTCTCGGAAATGACAAGGAATCAAAAAAATTGTCAAAGGATAACTGTGTGAGAGGCGGGTGGAGGCCTGGGATCAAACAGTTATACAGTTTCTCATAGTAGGAGCCAAAAAGGGTTGCCATGACCTGAGGATCATAGGTAGGACTGCCGTTTGGTTGGATTAAAAGATCAGGCATCGTGGAAGGAGACTGAGCTTTAAGTCGATTGACTAACATACGATGGGGTTTGTTGGAAAATTCATAAAATTTCTGTTTAACCCACAGCAGGGATTGTGCAGCCTTACTGGAGTCGAGGGTTTTAATTCAGTCACGTAAAAATGTTACCTTCGGAGTCCAGAAATGGAAGGCTTGGCCATCAACCGTCGTTCCGCCAAAAATAGTTGATGTACAAGAGAGGCCTTAGCACGTGCCGCAGATTTCTTTAAACGAGACCCCATAGAAATACAGAGTCCCCGAAATACCGCCTTATGGGCCTCCCATAAAATAGAGGAAGAGGCTACGGAGCCAACATTGAGGGTAAAATAGGTATCAAGTCCCCGAGACAATTCATCCCTAAGATGATCTGTGGAGAGGAAGGTCTCATTAAGGCTCCAATGACATGGTTTGGGTAAAGCGGGAGGAAAGAAAAGGTTTAAAGTCAGAGAGGCGTGGTCAGACCAGGTAATGGGGTTAATTTCAGAAGAGACCAAGAGTGAAAGCAATGGGGGCAGAGATGAAAAAAATGATCTAAGCGGGAGAAGCTACGGTGGGGGGTGGAGTAGAAAGTAAATTGTTTATGGGTGGGGTGTTTAATCCGCCAGGCATCGAAGAGACGATGCTCCCTTATCCTTATCAGTCTACGAAAGGATTTTGAAGCGGAGCATTGCCGCTTCGAGGGTGGTGGACTCAAAAAGAACTTTCCTGTCCTTATGGGGGGATAAAATCAAATTAAAATCACCCCCCACAATCACATGTGAAGTGGAAAAAGAGTCTAAAGCGGCGAGTGTTTGGGAAAGATATTGCAGTTGACCCGTATTGGGGGCGTATATAAATTCAGCAGAACAAGGGAGTGTTACCCAGCATACATTCCAGAATAATGAAACGACCTTTTTGGTCAACTCTGGAGGAAACAATCCGAAGGGAGCAGTGCGACCCAATCAAAACTGCCACCCCAGCCTTCCCGGAGGGATCAAAGGCCGAATAGGCTTGGGGAAAAAATCTTGAGGCAAAACGAAAGGAGCCAGCTGATTTGAAATGGGTCTCTTGAACAAAAATAATGTCTGCTCCTGAGGATCGAAATTCCCTCAAAGCCATCCACCTTTTTTGAATGGAGTTGAGGCCCTTGACATTATACGACATAAACCGCAAAGCCATTATAAAATAACAAAAATTGAAGCAAATGTGTTAGCCTAAAAAAGAAATGAAATACCATCGATGCAATAGAAAAAAAAAAAAAAACAATAAAGTAACACAGAAAAGTGTAAACATAGAAATTGACATAAGTATCCATGGGGATATAAACTCGGGAACAACCAATTGGCCCAAGTCGTCTAGGCCTATGGCTAGACAAATTCGGGAGCAGCACGACAACCAAGACATCAGAAAAATCGTCATGCCCGGCCAGATAAAACAGAAGTGAGAAAATGCACCCAACAATGGTTCGGCCGGACAGAAAAGAGAAACCCAAAAAGAAAAAAATATTATGTAAAAAAACCCAGGAAGGAAGGATCATCACCGGAAACACATCGGAAGGGCACCCAGAGAATCATCATACAGATGGATGGATTGATCTACTGAGGGTGACGTGGACGCTGTGGGGTACGTGTGAGTCTCTTCCGACCTCCGCGGACTGGAGTCCAGATCTTGTTGGGGGTGGCGGATGGACGAGACGGAGTTGGTGGCAGAGGGGACACATCTTCAGGCAAAGGTGGAAGTCCCAGGCGCTTTAAGAAGGAATCCACCTCTTGAAGATCACGAAGCACGACTTGGGAATCATCCCTAGTCACGACCAACCGGAAAGGA